GTGCTGTAATATCATACAAAAATATACATTTTGGTAATACAGATTCACTTCTGTGAAATACTAATGTTATGGAAAACAACGTGTCGTTGTACCAGGGTTTTTTTTACCACCTTCAATTACAGAGCGAGGTGCACACACTGCAAATGTACAGGGAGAGAACTACTCGGAGCCTAAATACGTGTATTGTAATAATAGCACATAGAAACGTGATATATCCTGGATAAAATCATTAATTCTCTGCCAGAAAAGGTTCTAATTTAGGAATGGTTCTGAAAATATGTTGTAAAATCTACAGCAGTGAATTGTATAAACGTATATTGTGACTAGAAAGCTTCCTCCACTATGGTTTAGTTCAGATTTAATCTAGTTTTAATTGTGGCTTTGTTTTTACAGTCATCCATGCAACTTGCTCCATATATAATGAAAAAAAAAATATATTAAAAATTAAGTTAGTCTCCATGTTGATTTCTGCTGCTTCTCATAATAGAGGCAACTGTTTCCACATTATAGGAAGCGACAGCCTCACAAATCAATGCATGTCACAACAGAATACAGACAGACGTATCTGATTAATCAGAATTACATTTTAGAAGTGAAGGAAGCCTCTAAAAATCAAAGAAAACATTTCTGCTCCTCCAGTTGGTTTTTTGATTCCTCTTTCTGAGCAGCCCGTGCAATGCAGTGAGAGAACAACAAAGCCTGAATTCAACACTTCGACTAAACAACTCCCATTCACAGTTACTTAATGAAGGCAGGATCTCTCATTCCATGGAATGGTTTCTGTTCACCTACGCTCTAAAAGAGGTTACAATTGGTATTCATTTGTTGTGGGCTCTATGATATGCAGCTCCCCAATTTTCCTGTGATATGTGGCTCCCCAAATTTCCCTTCAAAAGCTTGCCGACAGAACTTACAAATAAGACATTGCAGCACAGAGTTACCTGAACAAGACAGAAATGCTACCTGAAGCAACGGAGCAATGAGCTATTGATTCTGCAGTCAAAAAGGGAAGACATGAATGTAGGAAAAAGTGTGTGTGTGAAGGGGCATTTTTATCCTGCTACCAGTTTTCTTTCCCAGCGATAGTTCCTTTTAAAAGCAGTTATTCTCATTTCTGGCAGAAAGCAGATCTATTTGATAGTGAAGCAGCCGTGCAAATACGTTTAATTTGGTACATACAGTTCTAGAAGTTACTACTCCCCCCCACAGATACCTACAGACACACACACGTACACTGTGAGGGTGCTGAGGCGCTGGCACAGGGTGCCCAGAGAAGCTGTGGCTGCCCCATCCCTGGCAGTGTTCAAGGCCAGGTTGGACACAGGGGCTTGGAGCAACCTGCTCTATGGTTAGGTGTCCCTGCCCATGGGAACTGGATGATCTTAAGGTCCTTTCCAACCCAAACCATTCTATGATACACAGCACTCTATGACTAATACAGAATTACACTGTTATATCCAGTACCTTCTAGTATATTCAGAGCTCAGTACACTAAAAGACAGAAATACTCTGAGTTTCAGCTCTTTCTCTTACCAGCTTTCTTCCTGTTTCAACAAGAGCACAGTAGTATGCAAAGAACAAACTTTTGCTGAATCACTCCCAGTTGAAATCCTCACCCTACAAACAGAAAATGCTACACATGTTGTCATGAAGGCAATTATGCAGCAAAGCATGTGGGTGTCTGCAAAGGGAGCGAGCACAGCTCGAAACAGTTAGTGCTCTGCTAACTCCCTCTATGGCAACATGTGATGCTTTCAAGGTGAGGCCAAGACCGATGAGGGTTGGGAAGACTGGGGGAGTAAATTATGGTCCAGGGGCTAGAACTACAGCCCTGTTATCCAACATGTCCCTTATATGAGAAGGTACGGCTGCAGGGATCAATAGCCTAGCATCCTAGAAGAGTTTTCTAGGTGTGCTGGTTGTGAAAGAGGGAGAAGGAGAAGAGGTTCATGTGAAACAAATCCTCTGCCCTATGAGAATGCCAGCTGTCCAGACTGAGTCCTTTTTGTCTCTGTCCTTGCATAGCCTTCTTCCAAGATTTATCCTGCTTTTCTCTCTGATCTTATTCCATCACACAGTAGTTAATGCATGGAAATCTAAGGTTAGATTTCCATGTATATGCTTTTCATTAGCTGTATGTCAATCAAATTTAGCCTGTATCAGTCACTTTTGCTAAAGCGCCAGAGGATGCCCATGGTCAATAGGGAAGTCACTGGTTTCCCTATCAGTGACTGAACACAGTAGTGAATTCAGGAATCACCTCTGGAAAATGAAGCATTTCTCCTGCTGCTAAGCGCCCCGTTGCCACACAGGCAGTTTGGATCTTGGATCTTATTGCAAACATGAGGGAAGCCCACAAGTTAAACCTAAGCAGAACAGATCAAATGAAGAGACAAGAGCGATGAACAAAGAATCCTGTTTGTATCACGTAAATCAAGGCTGAAGTGGAAGAGCTTTGGCTGCCAAAACCTGTGTCTAGCGAGCTCCCTTCTTCCCAGAGCTCTTGGGAACTATACTGTGTGGGGAGCAGTTCTGCCTCCTCCCACTGACACCGCAGGCTTAGAGCAGGAGTTCTTTGTTCCTGGTCCTGCTACACAGCTAGCTGTGACTAGCTCAGCAGGCCAGCTCAGTGTGAACCCTCTACTTCTGTGGGTACCACAGCCCAAGAGAGCGT